TTGGTTCGGGCAAAGGCATGCCTAAAACGCAAATCATCAGAGTGTCTTGTGTTGATCTTAACAAATTCCAAACAGTTTAAATCATACACATGATAAAGGCATTTACAAACAGAAACTACAAGAATGAATTATTTGAAGGTTGGTGTCCACCATCGTATTTATATTATACACAGAGCGTAGGGAAGGCCAGTGGTTTTAATGAATTCAGCTGAGTTATGAATTTATTAGGCGACCTCTGGAATAATGTGTAGTTCGAGTTTTGAGTTTGAGAGTGGTCAGGGGCGGATCCAGCCCGATGAGAAAGAGGGGGCGTGAATATGCGAACTGAGTAAAAGTCTCAAGGGAGAGTCCCTGGTAGGGGTGCAAGTGGCAAATCCCCATTAAACCTCTAGCATCATAAATAATTTGAGATTGTATATGATTGATCTTTAATATTTTGAAAGGTGATTTTCTGATAAGTTACAAAAATTACTTTTTACACAAAATAGGAGTGGCGTACGCCCCTTACGCCCCCCCCCCCCCCCCAAATCAGCCCCTGCCACTGGTGGTGGTCGAATTCTGGGCGTTTCCAGTAGGCCTATAGTTCTAATCTTGGAATTGAATTACAGTATAAGATAAAATTAAGAATTTTAATACCATAACGCAATTTGAAAGAATTACACTTGGTATATTAGGGTCAGAGTGACATCTTCACTGTAACCCGGCCAGCAAGACATGGCCTGAACTATAAATACATTTAGAAGACAAATATAAAAGAAATAATTTGTAGATTCATAACGTGTACAGTATTGAGGCCACATCACTGCAGTGTAGCTAAGGATGTAAGGGCCATCCTGAGGAAATCCAAATTTCTAGTGGGAAATAGGGCTTTTGTTGCATAAAGAATTCAAGGCTATCTTTCCTTAGGCCTAAGTTGTATTAAGGAAATACAGTATACAGCACATCGGACAAATCCAGATCGATTTGAGTGGTTACTTTTCGCATTTGCTGATACAGGCTTTTGTTATTCAAAATAAGAGTTATATGGTAGTGGTCTTCTCTACAACCATCACAATTAGACAAATTTCAACAGATTGTAATTAAATACCGCTTCACGGTCGTTTCCTATTATGCTGTATTGTCATAATCTATATACGGTCCTTTTTATACTCCACAGAATGGCCACTGCTAAAATATATGTATATGTATCTCTTCCTACTCAATCAATTTTTTTTTTCAGATCTGACCCACACGAATGGGCCAAAATAAAACAATTTTATAAAATAAAAATTAAAAAATGCTGAAACAAAGGTATACAATTCAGACTTGATTCAGTAAGGCTCCCATCTACTTCACCCCAGCCCACCCTTCTCTTATTCATTAAATGAAGTTCCAGTGCATTGTAGTGAGACGATTGTAAATAATACTAATAAATTGATAATAATACATATTCAAAATAAAACAATAAAATATACAGCATATATAATAAATGTAAGCTTGTTCCATGGTAATGGGTTTTGAACATACAATCAAAATTAAATTCCAACCACGTTCGCAAACCGGCCTGGATTACGATATGAAATGGATATTTTTATTTTGCTTTAAATATCAATTTAACCCAACTGGGCAGTGAAGTTCCGCCTAATGAACCGCATATTCTCACCTTAAGGAATGCCACTATGTTGATTTAATATAGCCAGTTATATAATGATTAAGTTAGTGTTTAGTATGACCTTGACAGCAGTTGTATCCAATCAGTTTTTGCAAATAGTGTATGATAAATGATACAAGCTTGATGAATTTAAATATTTTGATTTCTATAAAATATTTAATCGTTGTGAGTGTATACATAGAGGTATATAAATAACTATATATTTTTTATATTTTATACCTCTGGTATTAGGCCTATGTATGTATATAACTGCGAAAAATGGGTACCGGTATGTACTGTCGGTGCTTGTAGTTGTGTGTGTCTATACAGTCGCTACTGTTTGGTTTCAGTTTGTAGATCTTGTATCCATATTCATTGTTATTGTCTAAGATAATCAATAGATATCTTTGTTCTACCTGTTCGTATTGTCATACTAGACCACTGTATTTTATTTATTTATTTACTAATATCTTTAGCCAGGATGACACAATCATTTTAAAGAAATATTTTTCATTGTGGTCCTGGAAAAAAAGAAAAAAAAATAATAAAAATATTATTAATAATGATAATAACAATCATCATAATAATAATAATAATAAACAACAACAACAAAATAATAATGTTAAACAAAACACAAAAGAACACACCCAGAGTCAGGCATTAATAATCATAATCATCATTTCGTAACCCTTTTCCTCCCCAATTCCACTCTTTTTTTTCTTTCCTTTTCATTCTTTTTTCCTCCATTTCCTCTTCAGAAATCACGAAAATGGCATACGCGCGCCCCCGCTTTTGAGATGACGCCGCCATCACTACCGTGTACGTGATCTGTATGATCTCGACTGTCTGCTTTTTGCATAATACTGTATCCCATAAAATTGCCTTGTTCGTATTCAGTAGGCCTAGGTCTAGGTCTCGGAGGAAATTACTAGTAGACCTACAATACTAAACACAACTCTATTGGATTGGATTGGATTTATTCGGTGTGAACTCATGCGTTTACATGAGCCCTGGGAAAATATCTCAGTTTATGTTGCGTTTCCACACTTGATCGATGTCGCGCGTGACACAATCGTGGTGTCTTGTGGTTTGGAAATGTTTCAGCCTGTTATATATATGCCTTATGTTTTTCATGTTTTTTCACGCGAATGCATAGAGTACATGGGCCTACTGTTTCACTACAATTTTACAAACCCTGATGTTACGTTCATGCGTCATGGTAATGATAAATTAAGTAAATCACTTTCAATATCACTTCAATATAATAAATGTATTCAATATAATTTATTGTCAAACGTAGTAGAAATAAAAATACTATCTAATGTGTTATGTGTGCTTCCTATCTCCCTAGTCCTGTTTGATAGACTGAGATTTTTTACAATCACAATAGTGTAGTTGAAATACTAGAGCAGAAAAAGAAAAACCCCTTGATTGATTTTAAAAGTACTGTACTGCAAAGAGACTAGATTAAAGTGACTCTTTGAGTGACAGTTTATTGTATTTGGTTTTCGTGGTTAAATACATTTAACATGAGCTAATCAGTTAATTTGCACAAAATATGATAAGCGGGCCTATGATTATGAATACCATAAATTGACACACTTTTTATGATGAATATTTCAGTGATTCATCCCCCTCTCTAAGAAAGTGGGGAAAAAAGGACTGTCAACGATATAAGCTATTCAAGTCTGAGAGTACCATTTCCAGCCAACTAGAGGTGCCATAATCACAAATTTTCTTACCTCAGGCCCAACCATGGTGGGCCTGAGGTGGTTTAGACCCCATCGATGGAATCTCTCCCTAGGCCCACTTTATTTCGAATTCCTGGATCCGGCACTGTAAGTTCAAAAAAAAAAATGTTAATTATAAGTCTATTCTTTAAAATCAATTAGATACGACTTATAAAATGCTACAACGTCTTCGCCACAGACTACGGCCCAAGACTTCTTGAACTTCGTCCGCCCACTTTCATCCACGGATCGACGCCCTTGATTGTCAAAGCAAAACAAAAAACTATGCTAAAGCTTTTTAAAGGTTTCCTTCATAGCAACATTTTTCAATCGATTCCAAGGGAACAGTACATAGGTTTACCATTTGTTGCATCGTTCAGCAAAATTGAAATGTAGGCTACCGTACTGTGTTACACATTCAACAAAATACCAAAATGTATCCTACTTTGTTAACTTAAAAAATACTCAGATTGAAAAGAAATAGTACTTTTTATCCTGCCTTTAGTCTCAAACCATTACCGTAACACTTTAAATACCTTGATCTTTATAGGCCAACTTTTGAGCTCATTTTTATGAGATACGTCTCTGATAGAGTAGATTTAAGTCTCACTTGTGGCTAAGAAACTTATCATTCATTAATTAATTGTATCTCGATGTTGTCTTGCAAAGATCTAGCTAGTCAATTTTTAAATGGTTAGGTGGTGCCACCATTGCTAGCATAGTATGTATTTGTGACCGACTTGATTTCCAGCTCTGTTGCCGGACCATAAATTTATTATTTTGAGAGCGTTTTATACCATGCTTGAAAGTGTTTCATAATGATGAATTATGCACAATACCAAGTTCACCTTTGCACAATTTAGGAAGTGAATGTAGTTTAATAAAATAATGAAAGTATATAGAATAAAACAATGAACAAAATAGATATGAGACTAATGATACTGTGAATGTAAATGAAAAATATTTTCTTGTTAGTTTTGGTACCTTCCTTTCACTGTTTGGGACTATTAGCTTCACAAAGACATAATTGTGTAGCTTTAAACGTAACTGTGTCAACACATGAATCAACGAAAGCCAGACGCAGGGTTCCCGGAATGCCGCCCTCAGCGGCGTGTGCGAAGCACAACTCAGAGACAGAAGTGGAACGTGAATTTCGATATGGTTTCATAGTCAGATTTTCGAGAAAAACTTCAGCTACCCGTATTTCTCGACTGAGACGTCAATGATGGGAGCTGCAATTTGTATGGCAAGGATGGTGCTACCCTTAATTCGTATTAAGGGAATATACGCCCACAAACCTTGTAGTTATTAATATTTTGGTTATATAGAAAATTTTTATTTTTTGATGACGTCACACTCACTATCAAACTCGCTATAGTTAGCATGCATACGTCATAAGCTAGATTACGTCACCTTTTCCTGGTAAGGTAAACTTTCCCGGCGTGCTTTTCTCATGGATAAACAAACACCACTGCTTTGCACATGAATGCCTTGCCTAGCTAGGGCTACAAGAGCCGCATAGTTAGCATATAATACTTAAACAATGTACGTCTGCAACTGAATTATTCTTAGGCCCTATTTTTTTTTCTTATTATAATTTATTTCTTTCGAAAGTGTACTTTCTATCACATATAATTGCACTGTCTACTTAGGCCTGACAGAACGTGATTGCACCTTTCTTCCCAGGTGTTCATGTAAATTTGCATATTGTTAGCTAACCAGATGAGTGTATTCCTTTGTGAAAATGAGTACCGCATTTTCACAAAGCGTTTGCATCCCCTCTTGGAAAGAGGGAACTTCGAAATAATTGTCTCCATATCTTCGCTAATTAATCACCGTAATTTAGCTTACACTTATGCATGGAGGGCTGGAGCACTTATGCATGGAGGGCCGACAAACCCCGAACTTTATTCATGCATTACATGAATAGTTTCATCTTACTGTACTCCAACATCACTGGCGCATGGTAACGACCAACTGGCAGACCATTTCCGGTCACAAATTACTCTCCATAACGCAGCACCCCCTAGTTCCGTGTCCTCTTGATTTACACTGGACACGATAACGAGAAATCATCGCGTAGTTTGTATTCTTCAACACTACGCGCACTGTATCGTGTCGTAATCGTGTCTAGTGTAAAAGTAGCTTTAATGTAGTGAATTAACATTTGTTTTTCTAGGTGAAGTTGAGTTAATGAATACGTTACAGCTGCTAAAGAAGTTTCCAAAGATATCAATCACCGCAATAGAGCCTGCAAAGGACCACATTGATGAATACAAGGAATTGGTTAAAAAGGAATCTAGTAAGGTAGAGGGCGTTTCGTATAGCTGGAGGCAACAGACTCTAAATGAATATCGTGATGAAGTCGGGACCACTAAGAAGTATGATGTCATAGTTGCTATTAACAGCGCATATTACTTTGATGATATTGAAGATACGTTAATGTATATGCATGACATCCTGGAAGAAGGTGGAATTCTGCTCCTTGTATTAGCGTCAGGTAAAATAAGTAACAACGTAAATGTGAATATGACAATATTATGAATAACAATTCAGTAACTATAAATATACACACTCATTAAAAGTCTACACACTAATATTTTTTTATACGATGAAATGGATTATCCGGAGTCTACTGCCATTTAGCTTTAAACGTCGTATTACTAAAAAGATTGTTGAAGTGCGTCAATGTCATGTAATGCTTTGTTTTGTTTGTTTAATTGTTTATTGATATTTTCCACATAACAAATTATTCATAATCTTCAGTTAAATAAATAAATAAATGATTATAAAGATTATAAAAAAGTATGTGGATGGTAGCCAAAATAAGTTTGAAAACAAACTTTAGGATATGACCACCAATAATGCGATGACGAGAAAGAAGGAAAAGAAAAAAAATATATGCCAAATAAGAAAATAAGTAGTCTGGTTTATCTAAACAAATGAGAATTAAAGATATACAGCCACAAAAATTATCAAGAAAAAAGATATGTGATTTAAAGTACGGTATACAATTTAATTTGTTATAGAAAATTCAAAATAGGGACAATATTTGGTTGACATTTTGAGTAGTAACAATTCAATTTAGATTTGTTAATTGTGCACTGACTTTAGTCATGCTGGTATACCGTAACGAAGTTATATTTGGTGAATAATTAATTAGAAAAAAAGTTCTTCAAAACTCAAGGTTGTCCTCCTCTTGAAAACGCTTCTATGAATCGATGAACTCCAAAGAGAAAGTGGGTTGGGGGTCTGGGTTCTCCCAGGGCAAATTTTGATTCCTAGATGGCGGGTAATGAGCTTTCCGGGCTTCTAAAGTGTCTTTTAATGACTTTTAAGTTCTTCAAAATTCAAGGCTTTTCCCTCTTGAAAACAGTCAGTTAATTTTTTTGTCATTCTTTTACAGTAAATAGGTCTATTATGTGTGTACCAGTATACACACAGAAAAAAAATTGAGTAGTTGCATACATCTCTCTTTCAGAAAATGGCGTTTCTTACAGGATATGGAGTCGGTTCTCTGCATTTTACAAAGATTTTTCTTTCAAAAAAATCTGTTCAGTTCAGCTAACGGACGTTTTAAAAAATCTAAATTTGGATTACGAGACAGCCCGCATGCGCAGTGGTGTCAATGTCACGGAATGCTTTAAAGACAGTTCACAAGAGGGACAACATTTGATTGACTTCCTGAGTCACGTGGTACATCTACGTGAAAGCGTGTCATCAGATTTCTATACAGAATTCATTTCATTTCTGAAAGATTCTAGTAATACAAACGGCAGCGACGATACGAGTTTGTTTATGCAAACTGAACAAGAAGCAATTTTTGTTCAAAAGTAATAGGGCTAATAATAATAATAATAATAATAATAATAATAATAGAAATAATAATAATAACAATTGCACATTGTCTACTGAGGTCAATTAACAATACTATTATATATTATTAAATATATTGTAAGATAACGAAAAAAAAACATGAATGGTGTATTGCAATTGAACAATAACAAGGTTTAAAGTAAATTATTTTTTGCTAATTTAGTGTGATACCGTACCTATATTTGCGAAAGCAATATTATATATATATATATATTATTATTACATTAGCTACTAATAAATCAGTGTTCTTAAAGTCTACTATTGAAGTTGTTTCATTTTTTCTCTATTCTGTCGGAACACACGTGGAAAACGAATGAAATATATATATATATATATATATATATATATATATATATATATATATCTCTCTCTTATACACATATATATGTGTATAAGAGACAGATATATATATATATATATATATATATATATAAAATCTAAAAGTAAAGATGCTTGAAGGTCAATATGTAAGTGCAAAGTAATTATCACAATTATATATATGGACAAATGTCGTTTTAAGTCAATAATGTTTGTCTAAGCATTTATCAAGCCAATTGAAATAGGGCACTAGTATGTTATATTACTCATAATTCTGAAATTTCCAGGTCTGCCTATATTTACGACCTAATGCTCCTGGACTCCAACACTACGGTACGCATTGCAGATCAGAGACGAGAAATACAGGTCGTTTTTGTGAGTATTCTATTCCGCAAAATTTCTCGCAACAAAAACGACCACAGTGCTCCAAATCTGCTTTTCGATTGCTTCGCACCTTCTCACCATATTTTATACCTCCATGGTTACCCTCTGAGCCGGCACACAGAGCCGTAGATAGAGAGAGTTTGGCCAACTCGGTTTCAATCACGTGACTTACACCGGCCATGTTGTCACCAAAACAACGCGATAGGGTAGGAAGTTAGCAGTTATTATAGATGATTAATGCTATATAATGTGAAATACCGTTATGTTGGGTTTGAGGTTGCTGCAATCGATCCAACAAAGAAACAAAAATGTATTAATTTCCTTAAATTCGAAAAAGGAGGAGGATTTGGGATTTTATTTTAACTTTGCATGGCGATCGAAAAATCTCACTATCCACCTAGTAAATTATAAGGCATGTACCGCCCGCCCCACTTCGCGGTAATAATATATCCACCTACTTCTACTAGGCCTAGACAAAGCCTAAATTTCGGTACTTCTTCGGCCGAACACCTTAAGGTAGTACTTAAATCAGCTTAATTACGATGATAATAAAAAAAAAAAGGAAGAATCTTCAAGCAGCAATGATTTATAAAAAGATGCAATGTTGCTGTTAAATTATATAACTAAATTTCCAGAAAGCTACATGAAGTATCAGTCAAAGGTAGCTTAAATTATAATTAAAAATAAAAATTGAATCCTCCAATAAAAGCGAAAACTTGTCCAAGGAGTCCTGTGCTCTGCAAACATGCCCAATTGTGCTTTACAAATCAATTATTGTGCAACTGAAGATTTTAAAGATAAAAATCTATTTTAAAGATATAGGCCTAATTGTATTATAATATATTGATTGTTTTAATACATATTTTAAATCAAAATGTTTAAATGTTTTACAAATTACAAATCAAAATTTCAATGAATAGTAAATAATGAATAAATAATAATAATAATAATAATAATTAATAATAATAATTTATAATAATACAGTAATAATGATAATAGTATAACTCACTAATATTATAAACAGAAGTGTGGAGAATGCTGCTATTTTACTTACAAGGCCTAGCTTCTTGATTATGAATGATTAGGCATATGTTGTACAAAAATTTCTCTCAATGCAATAATTCGTCAACCTTGGTTTATTGTTTAGATTACAATTTACAAATAGAAGTTTACGAAGTCATAGCCCTAGAGGCCTAGATACAATTAGAAAACTTTCATGTTATTAATATTTTTATCATTCATTTACAGGCGCAATTAACATATTATCGCCGACGATTCACAAACCTACTCTGTCTGCTCAACCAACTTTCTCCTCTGCAGGGTTGACTCTTAGTAGCCTCATGCTATATAGAGTAGGCTGCTAGCAACTAGGTATAGAGGCCTAGATGATAGACTTTCAAAACTAAAAGATAATCGTAACGAAAAAAAATAAAGAATCGTCCTCACTTTATCTTCTCGAAATAATACAGCACGTCACTGATTAATTAATTCCAAAGTTAAAAATGATTATACAGTATATGATATTTACAATGATATGTTAAAATCCCTAATTGAATTGTCCTCATGAACAGAATATGAAAGAAAGTTTATGCAGCATCAGTGTTTTATAAAATGTTATAAAGTTATACGCGCGCACTCTCTTTGGTGACAACATGGCGCCCATGAGCCAAGTTGGCCAAACTCCATGCCAAACTCTCTCTATCTACGGCTCTGCCGGCACACAGAGCCGTAGATAGAGAGAGTTTGGCCAACTCGGTTTCAATCACGTGACTTACACCGGCCATGTTGTCACCAACGCGATAGGGTAGGAAGTTAGCAGTAATATTATAGATGATTGATTAATGCTCTAATTATAATGTGAAATACCGTTATGTTGGGTTTGGGGTTGCTGCAATCGATCCAACAAAGAAACAAAAATGTATTAATTTCCTTAAATTCCAAAAAGGAGGAGGATTTGGGATTTTATTTTAACTTTGCATGGCGATCGAAAAATCTCGCTATCCACGTAGTAAATTATAAGGCATGTACCGCCGCCAGCCCCACTTCGTGGTAATATATATCCACCTACTACTATACTAGGCCTAGACAGGCCTAAATTTCGGTACTTCTTCGGCCGAACACCGTAAGGTAGTACTTAAATCGGCTTAATTACGATGATAATTAAAAAAAAAAGGAAAGGAAGGATTTTCAAGCAGCAATGATTTATAAAAAGATGCAATGTTGCACTTTGCTGTTAAATTATATATAGGCCTAACTATCCAGAAAGCTACATGAAGAATCAGTCAAAGGTAGCTTAAATTATAATCCAAAATAAAAATTGAATCCTCCAATAAAAGCGAAAACTTGTCCAAGGAGTCCTGTGCTATGCAAACATGCCCAATTGTGCTTTACAAATCAATTAATTGTGCAACTAAAGATTTTAAAGATAAAAATATATTTTAAAGATAGGCCTAAAATATAAAAATGGCGGTCATTTTGGACGCCATCTTGGTTTTGGGATACTTATACGATTTGGACCCTCCAGATAACGGTTTTATTGTATTCCTTGTACTTTAAAACTAGATATTTAGACACTTAATTTGTGCTTTTAACTCATCTGGTTGCAAAGATATGATAAAATATAAAAATAGCGGCCATTTTGGACGCCATCTTGGATTTTGCGCAAAGCTCTAGTAGGATTTTCCATGACTTTTAGTATGTTATATTACTCATAATTCTGAAATTTCCAGGTCTGCCTATATTTACGACCTAATGCTCCTGGACTCCAACACTACGGTACGCATTGCAGATCAGAGACGAGAAATACAGGTCGTTTTTGTGTATTCTATTCCGCAAAATTTCTCGCAAAAACGACCACAGTGCTCCAAATCTGCTTTTCGATTGCTTCGCACCTTCTCACCATATTTTATACCTCCATGGTTACCCTCTGAGCCGGCACACATTGGTAGTAGCGCCACCTATGGTGTACCGTAACATAGAATTGTTACTTCTAGATGCCTATGACCACGGACAGTACAACCAGCGTGCCCACTGCTTGGGTATTTACCCAAGATCTTGGGTATTTTGACTTGGTCTTTGGTTCTTGGGTATTCCGTTCAAATCCTTGGGTATTTTATATTTTTGTCATAGAGGAAGAATTAAGAAGTAACAAGTATATTTCAGTCCATTCAAGTAAGCAAACCTCAACGAAGTGCACATAACATTGTTAATTGACTGTTAATTGCTATAAACACGGGTTCAGAATTGTTTATTTGTGATTTGCGTTGCCATTGATCTATACCTAATTAATGCATTACATAATAAAACTTGATCACTGTTCTACACTGATAACACTGGCCGACTGAGGGCGTATTTTTCTATCCGTATTATTACCTCATGAATATTAATTTTAATAATTAACACAAATAATTACAATAAAAAATGGTTTATAAATTGAACTAAAACTGAAACTATACATGCGAAAAACACGTATTTTTCATATTTTAATGCATTTTCAGGAACCTTTTGTAATTTTGGGCAATCTTTGCTGAATCTTTGGTAATTTCGACCCAGTCATTGTGTATATCAAAAATTGTGAGTGGTCACGCTGAGTACAACTTGAAAGCCACATTCACAGTAGATACAATGTTCAGTTCCCCAATGACGTTGGCGTTTCATTTTTATTTATTTATTCAGACAGGTGCTTTGGGACACCAAAAGCAACTAAGTCACCTTGACAACATTCTGGAGCACCAGTAAACTAAACTACATGTTTAGCTCAGATATAAAAATATGCCACGGACAGTACAAAATGAAAGCAACATTCACTAGAAGGTACAATGTTCAATTCGCCAATGACGTTGGTGTTTCATTTATTTATTTATTCAGACAAGTGCTTCGGGGCCCTAAAAGCAACTAAGTCAGCATGACGAAAGTCTGGAGCACCAGTAAACTAAACTTAGCTAGCCTACTTAGTGACGTAGGCCAATTCATTGCATCCATTAATATACTTATCGTTAGCTCAGTATTTAACGCTATTTTATCACACCTGTATAGTATGGAGATACGTGGGAGGTCTTGGGTTCGGATCCCAATGGGGACATACGTTTTTCTCAAATATTTATTATCATCATATCATCTTTAATACGATAACACGTCATGTATGGCAAAAATCATTCGTGTTATTTGTAGAATCTTACAAAGACTTACTAAAATACGAATGACGTTTGCCATACATGACGTGTTATCGTATTAAAGAAATTGATAAATATTTGAATAAACGTAGTGTCCCCTTCGGGATTCGAACCCAAGACCTCCCGATTACCAATGCCACTACTACCACTACTACTACCACTACAACTGCAACAACTACTACTAGGCCTACCACTACCAGTGCCATAATACTACTACCAAATGAACGCCCTTTGGAAACCTTTTTTAAGTCTGAGAGATCAATTTCCAGGCCTCAGATTTACGAGATAAAATTTTTGACTTCAGCCCCCTTTGGCTGAGGTGGGATGTGAATTCTCCTGATACTCATCCCAGGGGTGGCGCCAGGATTTTCCCGACAGGGGGTCCAAGGTTCCCGATGGTTGGGTGGGGGGGGGATTTCCCCGACGAAAAAGGTGGCCGTGGTCGGGCATCGCTTAAAATCTCTCGAAAGCGTTCCATGGGGGCGAAGTCAATATGACAATTTAGGTGTTTTAAAGGACTATTTAATCGATTTTAGGTCTACTAATATGTAGAAAATAGGCCTACATATATATTTTATTTTCTACCTGACGAATTGTGTATTTTCTCCCTGACCGGCGTTCGAGGTGGGTGGACCCTCCGTTTGTGAAAGTCCCTTCCTGGGTCACCTTTCTTTTGAATTTCTGATTCGCCACTATTGAGTAACTATAATTATTGTAAGGCTTACTAATATTAGGCCTAAGATGCGTCTATTGCAAATTTTACTTTATCCTCTCAAAACAGTCCTTAAACGTTCAGAGTGCACTTCTTAGGGGATTAGCCCCGCCCCCGTCTTTTATTGAGCATAGAATTGAACAAACAAAGCAACAGAATATCGTAGTCTTTGTGTTTGGGGCAACTCCTTAATGCACGGTTTTGCTATACCCGTACGCTACATGCTAGTCGGACTTATATTTCGTTTGGACTCGGATGTGTGTTTATACCACTCTTTCAAGCAGTTTCAAGATGGTACAGATGGATCTGAAAACTTCATTTGTATTAACATGTGCAACGGTGATGGCGTATTGCTTTTTCCTGGTGTACACAATTCCGAAAAACTTCAACATGTAAGTATTAACATATCAAAATATTCTTACCCGGCCACCACCTTAAATTTTGCCCGTACTGTATATGACCGAAGAGGATTCGATAATGATTGAGGGACAAATGAGCTTTGATCTCTAAGTCTCGAAGATTCAAGGTAAATTCAAGGTTATGTAAATCAGAAAATTGCTGTTTAATCTGGCGAAATATAGGGAATAATGTTATGCAAGTGCGTGTCACTGAAGGCTTATGCCTGATGGGGCCTACATTTATTGGGAATATCAAAATCGCATTAAACCAAAACCAAAAACATTGCGTGATATACAGCAAGTGTTTAAATGTATATGTATATTATTATGTATACTTGTATGTTTTACTGCACTACTGTTAGACCACCTATACTTGGGGCCAAAATGGCTCCTCAATTCCACATTCAAAATTACAATAAAGACAAACGCTGTAAATCTAAATAGGCTAAGTAACCTAATTGAGTTGATGACCAAACAAATTAATGGCACATTATAGTTTGTATCAGTTTATTTTCAAATTGATTTGTTTTGTAATTTGATATTGATATCGTCTGAAATAAAAGGAATCCATTAACTGATTAATAATATAACAGTATATAGTATAAATATACTTGCATTATAATATCGCATTATTTAAAAAAAAAGAAAAGAAATAGTTTCGTGTTGTTTACGAATGTATTTCTACACGTTCGTTACATAAATATTAATTTACGAAAATATTAAATACCAAACTTCCAGAAAGTTATGTTGTTCTTATTCCTAATGTAAAAAACAAAGATAACAATGCCAATTTTTCGTAAACATACACATACACAAAAACATGTGAAGATAGTCCTGATTCGACGAATTACCCATAAATGAAACGGAATTACACAAAGTGATACCCAAGTATTAATTCTAACGAATAGGGTTGAATATTTTAGATTTGATAAATTGAATATATACGGTAGTTAGATGACAAAATATCTATACTGTACTACAACTAAATTTACTAGAGAAATAGAGATTATTAAAATACTCTCGATATATAAGAATGCTTAGACGTTAGAAATGCGAAAACGAATAATCTCTAGAAGTATAGGCCTATTCAGTATATGGCCTATATAAAAAAAAAATATTTACAAATTAAAGCAACATTTGATTTTACTGGAATATAGGGCGGTTATTAAGCATCGTACCAATAGAGTATGCCTGCGTGCCATATTTACATGTTTTTTTTTTTTTTTATTAGGTTTATGGCCTTCCGAAACTTTTTTTTGTGTGTAAATGTTCTTTTGAAAAATACATTTTTCTGAACAAAAACTTGCGGTGTTTTCGTTCAAAGTCAAAAATGCACTGTTTGTCATGAGCTAAAAAATTTTAAAAAAATAAATAAATCTCTTCCGTTTTTGAATTGCCTAATTTTTATATTCAAGTAAGTTAATAAATAAATTACAAGTAAAAGTTTGAGCCAGGGTGAGAGATATTCCTTGTCAATTAACGGAGAGTTAAATATTAACTTTTAGTGATGTCTTCTGCATAGCATAGACCTATTGGCTAGCAATTACTTTGAAGATTTTTACAATCTATAAACACTAGCAAACAACTATTTTCGATCTGTTTCTCGTTGGAAGTTTATAACTTTGATCATTTTAAATGAGCTACTGTGTTCTATATTTTTAATTGATTTTTGTTTACGTATTTTCGTCTTTTTATCTTATTTAGGGAGTAAAAAATACATACACAAGAAAATATAAGATATATACAGTATATATATATATATAATATATAGGCCTATTGACAAAGCCATTTCGTTCAGGAATGTATTATTCCCGTGTCCTTAATGATTGGCTGTAGCGTTACAATAAATATTTGAATTAAAAGTATTAAAAAGACTCTGAGAAAGACAAACAACATGTACTATTTGCGTGAATCGGCAAGGGAACCCTAGGCCAGGCTTAGCATAGAAACTTAGCGGTATAGTAATCTGGCCTACCATTATAACAAGGAATATAGAATAGATATTCTATATTCTTTGATTATAATAGAAAACTTTCGATTGTACGACGCGGTAGAAAGTAGAAGTCATAGGCGCATGCGAGAACGTTAATTTAGTAGAGCAGGCTTTGCATAGGCCTATTTCTCTTCCTTAATTTATCTGGTTTTGGATAATATAGTACTAGAACCCATCTTAGGACACCCAGAAATAGTATCTGTACTAATAGTAATAATGATATTGGAGGCGGTTGGCTCAAAGGTTGTCTTGGACTCTCGACCTTGAGGTCGCCGGGTTCGAAGCCCTTGCTGTTTCCACGGCAAAGCATTTCACCTAAGTTTGTCTCCGCACAGAAGTATAAATAAATAGATATAAACAAATATCATTTCAGATCCTGTATTTGTGGATATGAACATGAAGCTATAAGCACCACGCGCATGCGCAATTCAGCACAAATGACGCTGCGAGTTATGGGTTAACAACCTTTATAAGCATTACTGTATATATAATCGGTAAAGAGGAATCTACAAGTGTGCACAAATTTCCAACCAGTATTCGAATATTTGATAAAGACCTGAGGATAGGTCGAAATCTGTCTCTTATACACATCTAGATGTGTATAAGAGACAGTAGTAATTCTGGCCTACCATTATAACAAGGAATATAGAATAGATATTCTATATTCTTTGATTATAATAGAAAACTTTCGATTGTACGACGCGGTAGAAAGTAGAAGTCATAGGCGCATGCGAGAACGTTAATTTAGTAGAGCAGGCTTTGCATAGGCCTATTTCTCTTCCTTAATTTATCTGGTTTTGGATAATATAGTACTAGAACCCATCTTAGGACACCCAGAAATAGTATCTGTACTAATAGTAATAATGATATTGGAGGCGGTTGGCTCAAAGGTTGTCTTGGACTCTCGACCTTGAGGTCGCCGGGTTCGAAGCCCTTGCTGTTTCCACGGCAAAGCATTTCACCTAAGTTTGTCTCCGCACAGAAGTATAAATAAATAGATATAAACAAATATCATTTCAGATCCTGTATTTGTGGATATGAACATGAAGCTATAAGCACCACGCGCATGCGCAATTCAGCACAAATGACGCTGCGAGTTATGGGTCTCCTTGCATACCAGAGAAGACGATTGTGTTCTTAAAAACGCATAAAACAGGAAGCTCCACACTTACATCCATACTTCAACGCTACGGATACCTCAGAAATCTCACCTTTGCTGTTCCAGAAAAATCTCATGTTATTAGTCGTGGTTACTTTATGAAAACACAGGTTGGTTCAGGCAAGTTTGATATGCTGGTAAATCATGTGAGATTCAACAAACCTGAAATGCAGAAAGTGATGAAGCCAGGAGCCAAGTACATCACCATTTTACGAGATCCAAGGACGCAACTTGAATCCGTTTTTGGGTATTTTTTGCTGTTTAAGAGTATGAATCTCAGAGAAGCTGATGGTTTCGCTAAATTTGTATCCAATCCTTATTACTACTATAATAAATGTTCTTCCAGCTACGCCAATTATCTACGAAATCCAAATTTATATGATCTTGGTCTCCAACCTAATCAACAGAAGAATAAAACGCTTGTAAACTTATTTATTCAGCGTATTTCCAGAGATTTCGACTTGGTTTTGATTAACGAATATTATAATGAATCCTTATTATTACTGAAAAAAATACTCTGTCTTTCATTTGAGGATATATTGTATATACCAAAGGGAATTCGAAGTGATAAGAGACGTTATACAATTTCAAATAATGCACGTGAATCTATCAATAGGTGGTGTTGGGCAGACGCTTTACTTTATGCTCATTTCAACAAAACATTCTGGGAAAGAGTGAGAGATTATGGTCCTAGCTTTCAGGATGACCTGAGATATTTTGAACGCAAGTTGAAGGATACGACATTAAACTGTACGATAGCCAACAAAACGCATGATGATATTAAACACCGCGGAAGTCACTATATTATGAACCCAAATGGTGATAAGTATTGTAGTCTACTAACGAAATCAGACTCAAAATTTACTGGCATTATTCGTGCAAGACAAACAAAGAAAACGAAAAAAAATTAAAAACACGACCTAGTAGGCGTGAACAAAAAAAACAACAAAAAAACCAAAACCTCCCTCCCTAACATGAAAATTGATAACATAAGGATGCTAACCAATTTTTATTTTTATTTTACATACTCAAATAATGCAATACAGTAATGTGTGTATTTTATTGACTGTACTATTCTCATGTGCATAGGTGAAAATCATAGATTAGGACAAATGACAGTATCAGTCAATCTACGCATCTGTGTTTTTTCGTCTTTTTATCTTATTTAGGGAGTAAAAAATACATACACAAGAAAATATAAGATATATACAGTATATATATATATATAATATATATATATATAATATATACAATAATAATAATAATAATAATAATAATAATAATAATAATAATAATAATAATAATAATAATAATATTTTAGCATTAATTTACTGCTCTTTACCAGAGTCTAACAGCACTTAAATAGTATGAACTATTGCAATAGGTGAGTTTAAAAAAAGATTTGAGTTGAGAAAGAATTGGAATGTGCACTAGTTTAAGTACAAATAGGCCTAAGAATTTCACTTCAATAGGCCTATTGACAAAGCCATTTCGTTCAGGAATGTATTATTCCCGTGTCCTTAATGATTGGCTGTAGCGTTACAATAAATATTTGAATTAAAAGTATTAAAAAGACTCTGAGAAAGACAAACAACATGTACTATTTGCGTGAATCGGCAAGGGAACCCTAGGCCAGGCTTAGCATAGAAACTTAGCGGTATAGTAATTCTGGCCTACCATTATAACAAGGAATATAGAATAGATATTCTATATTCTTTGATTATAATAGAAAACTTTCGATTGTACGACGCGGTAGAAAGTAGAAGTCATAGGCGCATGCGAGAACGTTAATTTAGTAGAGCAGGCTTTGCATAGGCCTATTTCTCTTCCTTAATTTATCTGGTTTTTGATAATATAGTACTAGAACCCATCTTAGGACACCCAGAAATAGTATCTGTACTAATAGTAATAATGATATTGGAGGCGGTTGGCTCAAAGGTTGTCTTGGACTCTCGACCTTGAGGTCGCCGGGTTCGAAGCCCTTGCTGTTTCCACGGCAAAGCATTTCACCTAAGTTTGTCTCCGCACAGAAGTATAAATAAATAGATATGAACAAATATCATTTCAGATCCTGTATTTGTGGATATGAACATGAAGCTATAAGCACCACGCACATGCGCAATTCAGCACAAATGACGCTGCGAGTTATGGGTTAACAACCTTTATAAGCATTACTGTATATATAATCGGTAAAGAGGAATCTACAAGTGTGCACAAATTTCCAACCAGTATTCGAATATTTGATAAAGACCTGAGGATAGGTCGAAATATTGGTTTTCTCCAATAAAATGATTCTAAAGTCTATACATGGTATATTCATTTCCTATATTCTTTTGTTATTAATATATATATATATATATATATATACACACACTGTCTCTTATACACATCTAGATGTGTATAAGAGACAGGTATTAATACGTTTGGCATCACAATTTAGGGTGATCCGGGGGTTTTCCCCCGGGAAAATTTTAATTCGTAGAAAGCGGGAATGAGCTTTCCCGACATTTGAAGTGTGTTTTAATGACTTTTAATAAAATCATCAGCTCACGGATTCTGAAAAGGTAGGTCTAGAATTTTTTTCCGGTCACACAAAAATCTCCAGACATTATTTTATGCAAAAAAAGTGGGGGGGGGGGCCCGGGCTCCCCCGGTTCCGCCGGCCATGTACCACATCTAAGGGCCCGGCGATTAACCTTGCACTGGGGCCCTTTCGAACCTAGCGACGCCGCTGTTTAAGCCCTAACAGTGACCAAACTATCAAATTTTATTTGACAAATTGTTGTGATGTACCAATATCATGCCATATGGACAACACAATCACGCCCGTATATTGGTTATGATGATATGACACCTAAATATGGGAATATCAAATTTAATTGTCAAGCAAAAAATAGTAGTGTAAATACAGCTCTATATTATTTGACTATACTCTGCATCTAAATTATAATAAGATGTAAAAATTAATTGAAAATTATTTTTCTATTAAATACAGACAAGACGGAGAAAGAAGTGTGGTGATTGCTGCCCAAGTGAATGCAATGCCGATTTCGACTGCAGCTCCTTGCATACCAGAGAAGACGATTGTGTTCTTAAAAACGCATAAAACAGGAAGCTCCACACTTACATCCATACTTCAACGCTACGGATACCTCAGAAATCTCACCTTTGCTGTTCCAGAAAAATCTTATGTTATCTCATACTCTTAAACAGCAAAAAATACCCAAAAACGGATTCAAGTTGCGTCCTTGGATCTCGTAAAATGGTGATGTACTTGGCTCCTGCTGAAAAAACCTTGCTGAAAAAACTACTCTGTCTTTCATTTGAGGATATATTGTATATACCAAAGGGAATTCGAAGTGATAAAGAGACGTTATACAATTTCAAATAATGCATGTGAATCTATCAATAGGTGGTGTTGGGCAGACGCTTTACTTTATGCTCATTTCAACAAAACATTCTGGGAAAGAGTGAAAGATTATGGTCCTAGCTTTCAGGATGACCTGAGATATTTTGAACGCAAGTTGAAGGATACGACATTAAACTGTACGATAGCCAACAAAACGCATGATGATATTAAACACCGCGGAAGTCACTATATTATGAACCCATATGGTGATAAGTATTGTAGTCTACTAACGAAATCAGACTCAAAATTTACTGGCATTATTCGTGCAAGACAAACAAAGAAAACGAAAAAAAAAATTAAAAACACGACATAGTAGGCGTGAACAAAAAAAAAACAAAAAAAAACAAAACCTCCCTCCCTAACATGAAAATTGATAACATAAGGATGCTAACCAATTTTTATTTTTATTTTACATACCCAAATAATGCAATACAGTAATGTGTGTATTTTATTGACTGTTCTATTCTCATGTGCATAGGTGAAAATCATAGATTAGGACAAATGACAGTATCAGTCAATCTACGCATCTGTGTTTTGATTAGATGCTACTTTAGCAGTGTCATGTTTGGCACAGCTAGGATTGTACAGGCTACAAACACATTCCCACTGAGCATGATCTTATATTTCTACCTTTCAACAACCATGAACAAAGTATATCCATGGAGAAGGAAAATTTTCTTCCTCCATGGTATATCTGAGCAGCTTAGCTCCGTCGGCGGCTAATCTGATGGTAGCCACTGCGTGTGCGCTGAACCATGGAGATCTCTAGCTGTCTCTTATACACATCTAGATGTGTATAAGAGACAGCTGTCAGGGAGAGCCCCCCCCACCGTCGGGGAGAAAAAGCACAATTCGTCGGGGAGAAAAAGCACAATTCGTCGGGGAGAAAAAGCACAATTCGTCGGGGAGAAAAAGCACAATTCGTCGGGGAGAAAAAGCACAATTCGTCGGGGAGAAAAAGGTGATTAGAATCAAATATATAATTTAAGCTTACAAAAACAACACATCCAAAACAAATATAACAGATTTGTTTTGGAAAAAAAATGTAAATTCAAAAATTCGGCCAAATATAGTTTGGCCGTGACTTTTTAAACGTTACGGCCAGGCAAATTTTTATACGGCCAGATTTGAGGAATCTGGCCGTCAAAAAGGCCAAATGGCAACCCTGACACACACACTACACACAATAAAAAACATAGGAAATAGCAAAAGTGATTACAACAGTTCCTATTGCATTACATGCATAGGAACTAAAAAGTGTAGTGGTGGGGCGGATATGTGATATTTTTTGGTCAAGATGTGCACTCTGGAAAGAAGCATGAAAACTTTGTCCTAGGGGGTTTTTGAGTATGCTGATTCCAAAAATTGCAGGAACCACGTCACTCCAACCATAGAGAAAATAGAACTTTCTCTATGCTCCAACCGTTCCCGCCGAAAATTTAAAAAAAAAGAAATGAAGATAGGCTCGGTGGTTTTAGGCTGACTACATTAAAAAAAGGCGCCACCGAGGTGACGTGATAGACATTCAAAATCTTGTCTAATATTAAGGAAGATGTTGACAGTGACATATTCTTTCAAAGATTTTTTTTTCAGTTACTATACTAGAGGTTGTAGGTATGATAACTTGAACAAGAAATATGCTTGTCTAAATTGCCATAAGCAATTTTTTACTCAAAGCTAATAGAGGGCCACATCAGGCCTACCAGTCTCCTTCACCAGTCGTTTAGAGTGATGTACGGTGAGTTTTGTGCATTGATTCCAAATCCAAATGAACTATTTGCATGGACAATTTTATTTTTATTCAAAAATACTCTCATATACAGAACGTCTTATCACTGAATTACCAAGGCATTCTACTCTTAAAATCGGTGATATCCTTACATGCATTACCTACCAGAGGTTTAGCGTTGTATGTTGCATTGTATAAGCCTTTTGATATCAGATACGAAAATAATGAGTTTAATGTTTATATTCAGATAGAGTATATTATTAGATTTATTTTGATCATTGAATAAAGTTCAGAAGTTACAATTACAAAGGACTGATCATTTTGGAATTCAGATGTCTAAAAAACATACTTTGGAGAAAACTGCCTCTCTGAACAAGTTTTGAGCCACAAAAACCTAATGTTAAATGCATGCAATATAATAGACCTTCAACTTCCACAATCTCTCATACCCCCACCTCCTGCCTAACACAACTTATTTTGTCATGACACCTCGCATTGTCCATTGAGCATACTGTAAAATGTACATGATCAAGTAAGCACTGCAGGCCTTACAACATTGTGGCATACAGAAACCATATTATACACTGTGAGTTCTCCTCAGCAATCTTTATTCCAGAGGACGATCTGACTTGTTCCTAC